CTTGCTGCGCCCCGAGGCCGCCCGCGACTTCGGCTCGCTCTGGCTGCCCGAGGAGCTGCTCTCGTCCGACTACAGCGTGCCCGAGATCCTCAGCGCTCTGCTCAGCATGGAGTATTTCTACGCCGTCAAGGTGGGAGCCGAGGAGCCGGGCTGGGACGCGGGGCCGGAGCCGCCACCGGACACTCCAGAGAGGTGGCTGGAAACAGAGGGTGAGAGGTCACTGCTGCGAGCGGCCAGCCCGCCCGCAGAGCTGCAGTAGTCCCCGCAGAGGTGGGGAGCGGCRGTGGGTCCCCGAGGGAGGAGGGTTTTCCTTCCCTCGCCTTTTCTATTAAAAGCTATTTGTGCAGAAACAGCCTCGGTGGCSCTGGGGGTCAGGAGCAGGGTGGCCACGTGCTGCAGGGCAGCCAGCAGCACCCTCAAGAACAAGCCCCAGGACCTGCCTGTGGCAGGAATGCCCCTGGGAAAAGGAGGACACCAAGGGAAAATGCCCTGGTGCCCCCTTGTTGGAAAATGTCCTTTCCCTGCTGGTATTTGGGGGTCTTCCCCAGCCCCCTAGTATCTGCAAGGCCTCAAACCACAGCCCCRACCCAAAGCACCAGCCCTGCCAGTGCACAGGAGCTGTGGTCCCACTGGGGAGGGAGGAGAGCGGCAACTCCCAGAGCATCCACAGATACCAAGGCCAGAGAGGGAGAGCTAAGCCAGGACTGAACAAAATAAAAACAAAAAGAAAAAAATCAAAAACAAAACCACAACAGCTTGCAAGGGAAGAGACAATGGAGTCACATTCCTCCAGGGATGGAGTCACTTGAGGGGAAAGGGGCTTTCTTCTCAGCCCACTTGCCTAGCTGCTCTCAACATCCCCAAAACCAAGGAGAGAGGGTTGAGAAGAGCACCAGAGAAAATCAAGAGTAGCCAGCATKAATTCACCAAGGGGAAATCATGTTTGATGAAGCTGATAGCCTTTTACAATGGGACAACTGGATGGATGGATGGATGATGGGAAAGCCATGGATGTTGTCTAGCTTGACTTCAGCAAGGCTTTCGACACCACCTCCCATGACATCCTCATAGGGAAGCTCAGGAAGYGTGGACTGGACGAGTGCACAGTGAGGTGGATTGAGAACTGGCTGAATGGTGGAGCTCAGAGGGTGGTGATAAAGGGGGTCCAGTCCAGTYGGAGGCCTGTGGCCAGTGGTGTCCCACAAGGGTCAGTACTGGGCCCTGCGCTGTTCAACCTGTTCATCAATGACCTGGATGAGGGCACTAAGGGCACCCTGAGCAAGTTGAGTGACAATACCACGCTGGGTGGAGTGGCCGACACTCTGGAGGGCTGTGCTGCCATCCAGAGGGACCTGAACAGGCTGGAGAGTTGGGCAGAGAGGAACCTCATGAGGTTCAACAAGGACAAGTGCAGAATCCAGCACCTGGGGAGGAATAAGCACACATCACATCAGTACAGTGATCAGTATCAGGGGTTGACCTACAGATTAGGGGAGAGCAGCTCCACAGAGAAGGACCTGGGAGTCCTGGGTGACACCAAGTTACCCATGAGCCAGCRGTGYCCTCGTGGCCAAGGAGGCCCATGGGCTCCTGGCTGCATCAGGAGGATGGTGCCAGCAGGGCAGGGAGGGGATCCTGCCCCTCTGCTCCGCTCTAGGGAGGCCAGACCTGGAGCAYTGTGTGCTGTTCTGGGCTCCCCAGGACAAGAGAGACATGGAGCTTCTAGAGAGGGGCYAGCGGAGAGCAACAAAGATGATGAAGGGACTGGATCATCTCTCATACGAGGAGAGATTAAGTGAGCTGGGCTGTTTAGCCTGAAAAAGAGAAGACTGAGAGGGAAATCTGGTCACTGTATAAATACCTGAAGGGTGAATGTAGGGAGGAAGGGTCCAAGCTCTTCTTGGTAGTGGCCAGTGCCAGGACATTAAGTTGAAACCCAGACAGCTCCATCTCCAGGTGAGGAGGAACTTCTGCACTGTGAGGGTAACGGAGCCCTGGCACAGGCTGCCAAGGGAGGCTGGGGAGTCTCCTTCTCGGGAGGTCTCCAAACCCGCCTGGATGCCGCCCTGTGCCCCGTGCTCTGCGTGTCCCTGCTGGAGCAGGAAGGTTGGACTAGGTGATCTCTAGAGGTCCCTTCCAACCTCAACCATTCTGTGAGAAACACACACACACACACGGAGACACACATCCATCCCCCAAAGCAACACTAAATAAACCACCGCAGAGGGCCAGAAGGTGCCTGGAATACTTATCTCTCTTTATTGACTACTTGACARTGGAGCTCCACAGCTCTACAGCCAGGCCCGCGCTGCACTGCCCGCCGCGGCCGCGTGCCCACAGCACCCAGCGACGGGCAGCCGTGGCACAGACCAGGGAAGCGGGCGAGCCGCTCGGGCCTTGCTCGCAGCAGGCGGGTCGAGCCGCGCGGCAGCGGCCCCGTTGCCAGGGAGTCACAATGGCGACGGGGCCCTTGGTTGGGGCAGCCCCGGCCGGGGAGCTGGGCCAGCCTGTCGGCGGCAACGCGGCAGCCCTGCCGCTGCCCCGGCCCTGCCGCTGCCCCGGCACCCCGCGCCGCCCGCCGAGGGGCCGCCAAGACAATCACCCTGCTCGAGAACGTGAGTGAAAGCAAACAAAAGAAAACAAAACAAAAAATCCCCCTCAAAAACCTCTACCTAAACAATCCCTAGTGCCCGAGGACAAGTCTCCCTCTCCCGATGCCGTTGTAGAAGCCCTTGGTGCCATCAGGCCCATGCGGCAGGCGGATCACCCCAGCACGGAGGCTCAGGGAATCGGGCACCTTCCTGCCCACGGGAGAGGGGCAGGGTGGAGGCCGGGGCTCCGGAGGAGGGCTGGAGGCTGGGCCGCACTGCCACGGTGCCCACGTGCTGCCCAGCACTGCGCTGCTCTCCCAGCCGAGGTCGCCAAACCTCTGCGTTTCCAGGCTGGAGCTGAGGCCATAGGAGCCTCCGTTCCCCAGCTCTGTGGCCAGGGGAGGGAAGATTTTGCTGGCCAGGAGGGAGCCGGAGTACGGGCTCGAGTAGGAGCAGGGTTTGAAGCTGGAGCTGGTGGACCAGGTGGGAGAGGAGGAGAACTTGTGCACGGGCAGCGGCGGGGACACGGGCGCACCACCCGCCTCCAGAGAACGGCGGAGCAGGGACTCGCCGAGGCCGTAGGGAAACTCCTCRGGGAGCGCGCCCGCCTGCGCCTTCCAGCCCAGCTTGTCCGCGAGCTCCTCGTTCTCCATCGCCTCCCTCTCAGCCCTGCTTTTCTTCTTGGAGCCCTTCCCAGAGAGATGGACCACCTTGATGCTCTCCCTCCCCACGGGGCCCTGCGTCTGATGGTTCAGGTCTTCAAAGGCTTTCCTGGCGCTCTCCAGGTTTTCGTACTCCACCAGGGCACAGCACTTGGTCAGCAGCTCGGGGTAGCGGGCTGTGTACTTCCTCACATCCGAGGGCGGCTTCCTCCCGGGCCGCAGGATGCGGATGGAAGCGATGGCACCAAACGGGCTGAACATCCTCGTGATGGTCTCGATGAAGTTCTTCTGGAGCGGCGGCAACACGCTCTGCTCCTGTGGCAGGAGATCCCAGGCCAAGAGCAGCTTGCTCGGTGGGATGCTCAGCAGCGATTCGGGGATTGGGATCCTTCGTCTCACCTTGGTCCCTTCCTCATTCACCTCCAGCAGCTCTGAGAACTGCAGGGCGTAGAGCGTAAGCCGCCAGTCCCGCGTAAGGTATTTCACCTGCAAGAAAGTGGTGGCCTTTACCTCCCTTGGAGGCTTCACAGGCAGGGGCCAACCCACAACTCCAGTCTAGGGAGGCTACAACATCCTCCAACTTCAGTCATAAGAACGGGACATTAGCAGAGGGTTGAATTCAACCCTAGCAGGGGTTTGAAAACCAACTCTTCACTGCTTGCCTTGGTCACCCACCCTGGTAGGTTAGGCTTGCTTAAACCTGGCGAAATGCTGCATCTACAGCAGATATCAACCCGCAGCACTGCGCCTCCAGGCCTAGAGATGTTGCTTCACCTGGACAACAACAGCCCAAGCAGGGCCTGGACCTCCCAGCAGGATACACCAGACACAGCCAGGAGCAACCAGAAACCCTGAACACACCACTCCCATCCAGCTCCCGCACACAGCCTACCTTCTTGAAGGATGTCAGCAGCTTGATGCTGACAAAGCCCATCTTGTTCTTCTGGACATGCTTCAAGAGGAAGGCATCTTTGGCCAGGTTTTCATCTGAGAGGTAAAACTCCACCTGGGACACTATTCTCCTGATCAGCTGCGGGTCCGGGAGGGAGCAGCTGCAGTCAAACGGGTCGGGCCCCAGAGAACTGTTCACATCACAGAAGCTCCTGAGAGGAGAGCAGCAGAGATGCCAGCGTGAGCCAACAGCCTTTGGGGGGTCCYGGGCACAGCCTGCAGAGACATCGGGCTGCCCAGACCACAGAGCAGCAAGGTCAGCCCAGGTCTTGCAAGGTGGTGGGATTCCCAGCTCTAGGCCACAAACCCAGACTTGCCCTGGCCAAGGGGCAGGTTTAAGCACTTTCATTTGGGGACACATGAAAGGAAATTAGGAGGAGCTCAGCTCGCCCCACGCCTCCCAGCACCTCCCCAGCAGCAACCACCTACCCGCTGAGGCTCTCCAAGAGGTCCTGGTGGCCAAAGAGGGCGAGCGAGCGGCGCCGGGGCAGGAAGAAGGGCAGCTCCGGGAGGGAGCTCCTCTGCACTGGCAGCGCAGAGCAGCTGGGCTGGGAGCCCAGCCCCAGGGCCACCACAGAGCTAGGCGATGACATGGTCCTTCATCGGGGACGTCACACCGGAGGAGGACGGAGCTGAGACACCTCCTGGCTTCAGCCACAGCCTCTAGAGCCCAGGGGCAGGAGGGCTGAGCTGGTCGCTGCCCCCTTGCCTGGCAGAGGGCAGGGCTGAGGACGCAGCAGAAGCTCCTGCCCCTACATCCCAGGGCCCCACAGGCACCAAGCCTCTCACCTCCAGCCTMAAGCTCCACAAAGACAGAGGGAAAAGAAAAGAAAGAAAAAGCCCCCAGTGCTCTTAGGCTGCTGGTTTTTAAGAGCAGCCCAAGCCCTGCAGCAAAGGCCACCACAGGAGCTTGGAGAACTGGCCCGGAGGAGCTGCCCTGCAGCCAGGTGAAATGTGTCTGCAGGCTGAGCAGCCGCAGCTGAGCCTCGTGAGTCACCGAGCCTGGGCAGCGGCCACGGGACACGGCTCCAACTGGTCTTGGTCCGTGTCTCGGTGTCCTGGCCATGGGCAGGGACAGCAGCAGCAGCAGTCAGAGGTGGAGGGACAGGTTGGTCCTGTAYGGAGTTTGCACTTGTTGGAGTGACTTAGAAAGGTCCTCCTGCCCGCAGAAAGCCCTCTGGTCCCAACGAGGGGATCCAGAGGAGCAGGAAGAACAGACCAGAGCTCCCCAAGGGTAGCGCCGTGGGGCAGGACCCCCACAGCCTCCGCAGGGGATGGGTCAGGAGGCTCTGTGGGACGGGGGCTGCAGGGGGATGGGGAGGTGGTTGGACGGGGCACCGCGGATGCCCCCAGGTTGGGGGCTGCTGCAGGGCACAGAGGGCTGCAAGGGTGGCCAGGGAGCAGGGCTGCCGTCCCAAGGGCTCAGCTGAGTTGGCGGCGGGAGGTGGATCCRCTGCCAACCCAAACAGTACCGGGCTTAATCCGAGCGACTGTATGGAGGAACCGAGATGTTCTGCCGGGAGCTGCCCTGAGCTTTCCCCACAGTGGCCTCCTGGGCTCCTCCAGCGGGCRAAGCATCCCACTGTCCTCGCCCAGCACGTCCCCAGCCCGCAGCGGCACCCAAACCCCCYGGGGCTTTGCCGGGGCTGAGGGGGCCGTGGAGCCAGCGACGAACCCTTTGCTGTCCCCTTGCAGCCTGTGCTTGGGGGCAGCAGGGGCTGCCCAGGACGGATGGGGATCCCGCAGCCCTAGGAGCAGGTGGAGGACACAGAGAGAAGGTCTGTCCCAGCCCCTTGAGTCTCAGTGTTGGGAAGGAGGGGACACGGACTGGGAGCAGCAGCGGCTTTGCTGACCTTTGGAGCGAATGAAAAAGAAATAGGACCACAGCAAGTAGTTATAGTAGAGGCCTGAGCGTTCGATACGTGTTTATTGCTATCGGGGTTGAGCTGGGGGGCGCGCATGGGGGCCGAGGGGATCCTGGCGCCGAGCTGGAGCCGCTCGCGTTCGCCCGCTCCGGCTGCGGTCACCCCCTCGCTGCGGGAGTGGGGACGGGGGGCACAACACTCGGGTGCTCAGTCGCTTTTAGACCGTCTTATCCCGGCAGCAGGAGCTGAAGGGCGAACTCTGCACTCCTGTTATGTCCAGAAGAAACGCAGCTTGCTCATCAATCTGATAGGAGACACTCACAGACGAACATCACCCTGACGGACAACAGCAGGGACAGGCAGACGGAGAGATGTGCCACTACACACGCTTTCTTTTTACTTCCCATTAGCATTTTTGTTTCTTAGTGTCACTGCTACCTTACTATCCATTTTGAATGAGTAAATATGATATCTGGATAGAATATACTCTGATATGCAAATGTACACGAGGCCCCTGAAAAAAGCTCACACCAAATACTGGTATAAAACATCATTAGAAATAATAAAAGCTATTTATGACACGGCATTTATTCACAGAACGATTTGCACTGGGGTCCTGTGTTTGCTGTCGCTGTTTGGCTTGGCAATGGATTTCCGCTCCCCTTCAGCCGCGTTGTCTGTGATGCCAGGCGAAGCCGTGGGGCAGGGAGACGGGGATAAACCAGAGCTGAGCGCCGGCTCGGAGCCGCCGCGGCGGAGGGCAAAGGGAAGGGGAGCGTCGGCGCCGCGGGGCCCGTGCAGAGTCCCCGCGGCTGCGTGGGACGCGGCGGCCGCGCTGGGACCTCGCTTGGGGACCTCGCTGGGACACCCGGGTGGCGGGGGGCGCCGCGGGGCCCGTCCTAAGGCACTGCACCCTCCGCCGTGCCCCGGGCCCGCGCACGGCGCTGCGCCCACGCACGGTGCTTTGGCTGGACGGCAACCGCGAGAACCCAGGACGCGGCGTGAATCTCCCTCTGCACGGTGAGGATGGACTCGCTGTGACTGTGAGCAGCAGAGGGCACGGGACGAGCGCGCGGAGCGCGTCCTCGGRGTCCTTTGGTATCTGGAGCTGGCCGGGCCGAGCCCCGGCATCATCTGCAGACGAGCCACAAAGGGCGCACGCGGCAGCACGCAGGAGCGCTGGTAGGGAGGCCGCGTCCTCGGGTCCCAAAGYGGGCCGGGCACCACGCTGCGGGCACTGGGGGGCGACGGGCCCGGCCCCCCTCCCACAGCGGCCACAGCAGGACAACATCGCACTCTGCTCTTCTCCCCCAGCACAAACTATTTGGCAAAGTCAGAGGCAGGAAAATTTGTCTCGCAAGACTGTAAGAGAAGGGTCAGGTATTTTTCCTTCTTCTTGGGCACTGATTGGTTCAAGTTTGTATCACAGTGAAGTCTGAGAAGTGGGGAAGAAACCCAAACCACCTTCCCTGAAAGAGAAAGCCTCATTTGCCCACCTTGCTCGCGCTGCTCCTGACTGGTTGAGCTCRGCCTCTCCTAACCAGGCACATCTGATCCATTACTAACCATGGAGGCTTCGTTCTCACCTTCCTTAGCAGACTTTGGACCTTCACCCTCCACCCAGCAATTGTGCTGTGTCTACCAGTAGAGAAATGGAGGGGAGCCGGCGTCCCGCATGGCCAGTCCGTGATCCCTTCCCACCACCCACCCAGGCTCACCGCCTGGGACCCTTCCTCGAACAGAAGTAAACATAAAAAGAAACTAAGAGGCACTAATATTGTGGATATGGGGAGGCACAGGCTTGAGGCTCTCCAGCCTGGCTCYGGAAGTCTTTGTCCAGCTGGAGAAAAGCCAAGTCCCCAGTTTAGATCTCCTGCAGCGAGTGTCCGGGGTCGCTGCGCTCTCGCTTCACGAGCGGCTCCCCCATGCTCCGGGAATCTGTGTCCACCTCGCTCCCCAGGTCACTGATGTCATCTGCAAAGGACAGGTCTTAGCATCAGGGTTGTCAGTGGACCGGGAGAGGTCACTTCTCCCAGCAGAGCAGAGTGGAAGAGCCAGCACAGGGTTCCCCCTCCCACACTGATCCAGGCTCAACCCAGACCCAACAGGGTTTCCCTTTGGGGAGAGGAGATACCTTTGTCCAGCAGTGTTGAGGACATGGATGTGAGGTCTCCAAACTGAAAGAGAAAGGAGTTCCAGGGTTAGTGAGGATTGCAGCATGCCAAGGTGCCAGACCTGCAGCTCATAATCTACTTCTAAGCCATTCCAACAAGCTGCTTAAGCCCTTGGGAGAAACCACAAGCACCAGCAGTGCTGGCAGTGAAGAAGGGAGACCAAAACCAAACCCATGTTTTGGGCTAAGTCTGGGGCTCCCATTTAAATGACTGGGCAAACACATGCACTAAAACCCAGGAATACAGCTCCAGAACAAGGAGAAATTTTTCTATCCCCGTACTATCACCAAGCTGGTTCTGCCATGGAGTCCTAACCAGCATGCAGCACTACAGATGATGCCTCTTGTCCAGCCCGGTGCATGTGCCAGGAGGGACCTGGCACTTGCCAGGTGCATCTGCCACTTCTGGGACCATGAGCCCAGCTCCACACATCTCTGTTCAAAAGGTTTTCCATCATTTCAAGAAACTCCTTCAACTTGCAAGGCCACAGAGGCAAGTGTAACCAGAGAGCTGGTGAGGTACGTGGTTCGGGATGTCCCTCCCTCTCTGCTGAGGTCTGCAACGCTAAATGATTCTAAAGATCTCTAAGATCTAAGGACTCCTCAGACTCATGCAAAATGGGGCAGCAGTAGAGCTGAAGGCAGCAGGAGTAATAAAGCACCACAAGCAATGGAAATGCAAGGACACGATTGATTCTCTTTCGCTATGAGGAATCAGCCACCTCCTGGAGCACAGAAATATTACAAGAGCCTAACAAGAAAGGCGAAGCCTAGAGGATGAAGGCTCCCCCATGAGGTACTGCTGGAAGCCCTGCTCTGCTCTTCATTTTTCTTTAATATCAATAAAGACAGAGGTTTTGCAGAGAAAAGTGTGATTTTGCAGCATTGCTGGCTCTATGCAACAGCATGAGGCTAACAGGAGAGGAAGAGAAAGCAGCAGGCATGCAGTTGATTTGTCTAGCTCCCCTACGTGAGCTCCCCAGAAGGAAGAAAAAAAGCGTGTGAACTGCAAGGATCAGTTTTAATCTAACGGTGGTTTCTATATTGCTTTCACAGGTTGACTCTAGTCTTGTAGTAGTCTACGTTCTTCAGATAAGCAGGACGGGGCCTGCTTAGAAGCCGAGTGCCAAATTTACTGCAGGAAGGTCCTTTCTCCCCCCAGGGGATGCTCAGCTGCCTCAAAAACCTTCAGCTCTGGCACTGGTGAGCCATGAAGGTGCAAGGAGCCCGTGCACCAGGCCCACGAACCAACTCAGCAAAACCTTCAGCAAAACTGATTATAAAACATATTCAGGGCATAATGCAGGTCGTGCATTATGGTGTCCTTTTAAACGTGGCTTAGTTTGGATCCGTTCCTAGGGAATAACCAATTCTCACCTCTCCCATTACAGCAATCGGCGTCTCCCCTGTTGCCTGAGCAACACGATGTTCTACCAGATAAAACATGTATTCATCGTAGAGGAGGCGAATGAGGTGGAAGGAACCAAAGCTGGCGGCGCTGCGCAAGGTGAGGTCACGGATCACCATGGAGCTGCAAAATGGCCGGGAAACAAAACATTTGGAATGGGTTTTATATTGGCCTCACGACTGATGCAAATTATTGACTCCGAGGTATTGTGGCGCATGGTGCTCTGCTTCTCTCTCTCAGCTAGGAGTCTCAGAACACTTTAAGAGATTAGGGTAGCATCCTACCACCCACCCCGTGAAGGTACAAGGCACACAGCACTTTTTTTCTGTACCAGGACGGAGTGATCTAGACCATTAACTGGAGGTGTAGAGGTATAAAGAACTTGGTCTTTGCCACGGGAGCTATCTACATGCACTAAGTCATATACAGGAATAACTGCCCAAAACAAAGATAAACATACCTATAGAAGGACCACTTCAACAGGAACTGCCTGGCCGCCTTGGGGAAGCTCGGGCTGCCCTCGTGGTGCTTTAGGACCTGGGTGACGACGTTATCCAGCCAGCTAGCCCACTGGTCCAGAGAGCTCTGCTGCTGCAGCGTCAGCTTGAAATCCTGCTCCAGCTTCTGGACCATGCCTTCCTCACACTGGCACACCCACGAGGCTTGCTCCTGCTCGGAAAAGGACTCATGGTGGCACGTGCACAGCCGGTGGTTTCACAGCTTCTGCTCCATGCCAGCCCAGCAACTGAGCTTTGTTTCTACCAGGCAAGGACTCCAGGCAGCTCTGAATCAGGGCTTCCCAATGAGTCCACACCACAGAACAATATTATTACTGTAGCTACATTATTCTTGCTAGCAGTACTTCTCATGTAAGTTCCTTAGTACTTTATCTGCTCTTCAGAATGCTGCTCAGTATGAAATAGCATTCTTTGGTTATCTACACACCTGGAAAAGTAACACTGGCAACTTAGGTGTAATCATTCATTTAATATATTTTTTTTAGTATTGGAAATAAGATGCTGGCTATTAGCTAAGCACACCATTAAAGAGCCCCTGCTCTAGACAACCTCGCTTCTAAAAAGGTCATATAAGTCACAGAAAAGATACTGTAAGTCACCTGCACGTTGGCAAAGTCGACCCGATTGAGATCGCTGAGCATCTGGTTTATCTGGGAGGTGTTCTGGAGCACGGCCCGAGCGGCCTGGGCCAGGTGGTTCAGGGACGTGTATCTCCGTAACGTCTGGGCAAAGGCACTCACCACCCCGACCTGTCACAGAGCACAGAGGGCACCGTGGGCAAAACTCTTCTTGGTGGTGGCCAGTGATAGGAYGAGGGGTAATGGGTATAAATGGAAACCCAGGCAGTTTCATCTCCAGGTGAGGAGGAACTTCTGCACTGTGAGGGTAACGGAGCCCTGGCACAGGCTGCCCAGGGAGGCTGGGGAGTCTCCTTCTCTGGAGGTCTCCAAACCCACCTGGATGCAACTGGATGCCCCATGCTCTGGGTGTCCCTGCTGGCGCAGGAAGGTTGGACTAGATGATCTCTAGAGGTCCCTTCCAACCTCAACCATTCTGTGATTCTGTGAACAGGGGCCACAGAGGCCAAGGGCAACCTTCTCAGAACACCAGCCTTGAGCGTGTAGTCCACATCGGCTGCGGCATCCTGCACAGCTGCATTCATGCCACTGCCCAAACCACATCTCAGCACTCTAGAGCAGCATCTTGTGCCATCTCTTGCATCGCACAGACCAGGCTTTGCATTTCTTTTCTTTAAACTATCAACAGGATTTTGCGTTTTGCTTCCTGGGGGAAGAAGCTGCAAGAACCTGCAGGTCTAGGCAAGAGGGAGCCTTAGGCTGAATCACAAACTCAACAGCAGGACTGGCTAAGAAGTGATGCTGGATTCAGTTTATGCAATAACATTCATTTTATGGGGCGTCCTCCACTATCTAGTGGGAGAGCATCATTCTAGTGCAGAAAGTTTATCATCAATCATCATTATCTTGCAAAATAATGATGACAGAATAAATTCAGTRTGTGGGAATGGTGCAGGGTACAGAGGATCACCAGTTTCTGGTGCGAAGAAATTGCTCTCCTTATTGCCACCCTTGCTGCTCATTATTCCATGACAGTCTGGAGTGCGTGCAGCCAGACCCCACTAGTGTCCTTACCTCCAYGGAAAGCTGCAAGCTGCTGCACACTCCCAAAACTTACCTTTGTCTGGACAACCTGTGGAGGGAAGTCACTCATCGCGTTCATCAGCCACCCTTCCAAACTCTTGGCAAAATTACGAATCGCCTGTGTCAGTGTGCCTGCAAAGAAGTTTGCAGAGTTAGCCAGGCCTTCCCAAAACGTCTTTCAACACCAACTTTCCAGCTTAGGACTCCTGTGGGAATCGTATCCCCTGAAATGTTAGCTGAGGTCCATTGAGTGTCGTGGGAGTGCACTGGGGCCCGTAATGCAGAGAACTCCTTTTCTCCATGGTCCGTCTCAGCATTTTCCGACTGTTATGGTCTGTTCTTTAAGAGACACATACACCCTGATCAAGGACCTGTTCACCCAAATCCAAGTCTAACTCCTTGGGCTTTCTGCCTGAAAAGAGCAGCTCAGAGGGACATGACTTTACAGCACTGCTCAGCCCAGTCTACGGCTGAGTTGCATCCCTGGGGAGACGGGTGCATGCACTTAAGTGAGGAGCTAAATCAGAAAAAAAAACTTCTATATTCTATCACTAATCTCCCAAATGAAAGTTGATCCCAAATTTCCAGGAGGCACGGGAAGGGACACAGTGGTCCTATGTAAACAGAGTTACTATCTCCAAGGAAATATCTCAAATGGATTAACAACAGCTAGTTCACTAAGCCAGTGCTTTTACCCTCACTCATAGCCAAAGCCATGAGATGTGATATACCACAACCCAAAATTTAAAAAGGTTTTGGAATTTCCAGGAGACACAAATGACCTTCTAAGCAGAGCAATGCTGGAGAAGGGAGATTGCTGTTGCCATAATAGCCAAGTCTGTATTCAAAACAAAACTGTCTAAAACAGCTTTTACAGTGGAAACCCTCATGGCAAGTGGTGGCCAGACAGAGTGAGTCACGGACTCATTTGTCACGTGCACTTCTGTGAATCTGGAGCAAAGAGCAACCCAACAAAGAGCAGGAGTTGGGCAGGAGTCGGGACAACCTGAGGCTTCGTGACTGCACCGCAGATACTCACTGGGCACCGGCCTGAGCACGTCAGGGATGAGAATCTCCACCAGGGCCTGGTACAAGATGTGATCACAGCTTCTCATCCATTTGAGGACAGGTTCATATTTACACAGAGTGATCAGCTTATCTTTTGGGAGGGTCCCTTCATGTTCTTCTTCACTGCAGGAGGAAGCAGAAGGCAGCATCAACAAGCAGCTTTTATTTTATTCTCTGTATTTGTAGCCATTTTTCAGTGGAAAAAGCTACTCAGTTCTCTCTTCAGAAGGGGATGCCTGATCATTTGCTCAGAGCTGTCTCAAATGTGCAAGCTGCTCTGTCCACAGAGTCAAGAGCCGTGACCACAGCTTTACCTCAAGCCTACATCATCCTCTGCCTGGTCAGAATTCCTTTGCTCCTTCCTTCTTTGGGACAAGTTGCCTCTCACACGCCCCCCTGCACGCACACAATACACACACGCCTATGTGGGAACTGCACTTCAGCACAGGCAGCTCAGTCTAGCTGGTTCTGGACAGAGCCAAACCCCAAGCCAGGCCCAAACCTTCCACAGCCTTCACATCTCTCTCCTCTGCTCTAGCCTTTCTCGAGTGTGACAGCAGTGGTTTGGGGAGCAAATGTTGTATGAGCAGATGAAACAACATTGATAGATACTAGAAAGAGTCGTGAGGGGTTTGGCAATTCAATCCCTGAAAGGTTTCCTAAGGAAAAATATGGTTGCTGTTGCATTGAAAATAGAGCATATAATCTCCATCCAAATGAGGTCAATCGAGCCTGCATTACTTTCACCATTATGGATCTACGGAAGCCTTTTTTCCCCCCACAATGAAGACATAAAATATTTGCACAAACAGCAAGCAGAGCAAAACACAGCCTTAATGTACTGCCACAGCATCACACTGCAGCTATTGAATAGGAACAAGGAGGTGACAGGGGACTTCAACCACACCTTACATCAAAACATCAGAGCCAAGATGATGGACTTAGAATAAAGAGGTTCTTCTATTATTGCTTCCCTATCTAAGCTGTGTCAGCAAATGCAATCTACTGGGATAGCCTTAAAACACTCGTACATAAGACTTGGCCAACAGGCACCCGAGCCTTGCTTTAAATAGAAGCATTTTCTAATGCTTCAAAGTAGTTTGACGCTCTGCCAATAGTTTGTTTTTATATTTGCATGTACAAAGGGAGGGGAAAGCTTTTTATTTAATCTAGCCTGATTATTAGCAGGACTACGGCGAGGTGTTAGACCTCTTAGTGAGGTATGTCGGTCTAGACAGAGCGCTGCAGCACTGCAGCATCCAGTATGCGAGTGAGTCTGTTCCCACCCGGCCCAGCTCTCTCCATGCTGTTGCTATATGTCTTGTGGACACACACTTAAGGAAAGGAGGTTGTCAAACCATCAAACACAACCAGGCTGTTTCTTTGAGGCAAAACCGAATAATGTCTGTGGAGGACAATAGGGCTGCATTCTATAGATTATCATGGGGTATATCCTTATTATCCAAACTTTTCGTGTTTTTCTTGTGAATACAAAACTGTAGTATCTGAAGCCCGTATATAAGCCCATATAGTGGGAATGGGCTATATAGACTTTCAATACATTTTTTCTTTTAACAAGAAGCCTTCGCCCTTTCCACCTCTCTATTTTCACTTATTTCACCTGTTTCCTGGCAGCAGCCTCCCAAGGCACAAAGGAGGCACAATGGGCAATAACAATGAACTAGACAAGACTGCAGAGCTGGGATCAGAGCAGCTTAGTTTCTCATCATCTTGCTCAAGATATGCAGTGCTTAAAAATTTTGACAGCGACCCAAATAAGGGAGCGAGTCCAGATGTCACTAAAAACGTTAACTTTTGAGATGTCTATAGATAGCACGAAGGGTAACGTCCCATTGCTTTGGTCATTTACAGAAGCAGCAGCCCAGTCTCATTCATCCAAAAGCTCCTTGTAGTTTGGATTGATGTTTTCTACTGCACATGTGCCATTTACCTATGTGCCAGTATGGCACATAGATAAATAATAAAACCATCTAAGCATCTAAGATGCTTCCCTGCGAGGTCTGCACTTTGCACGGTCGTTACAACTGACCGTAAGCCTGACACTCCCTACAATGACTGTGCATGGAAGCAAATATTTCCAAGTCCTATAAAGCAGTTAAAATGGCTAATGGAGCTGAAATCAGTTTGTTTTGGAAGGATAAAATACCATTAAAAATGAATCACTCAGAAATAATCAAAGTGCACCAGCGTACCTGGAGGGCAGGGTAGTAGAGCCATCACTAGATGGTGTTTTAGGACTCCAGAAAGATTGCCACAGTTTCTCGATATACTGAAACTGAAGGTTCATAACAACATCCAACGTTGCCTGATGATGAAGAACACAACTCATTAGCTGTTGTTAGCGTCTCGTCACACAGTGTGAGCACAAATTTCACGCTCTGCCATTTAGCTTAAAGAGTTTACAAGAGCGCACAACTGCGAGTGTGCTGTTCTAATAATTAACATAATGTGAAACAGGTCATACAATTAAAAAAAAACCCGATAGTGCAACACTTGTAACAGGTAATAGATGAAACAGTCCCATTTACACCTTAGTGGCTCCTGGGAGTGGGATGTGGGAGAACAGYATCTGATTTATGTCCTGTATCAATTAAGAAATGAACCAAACATATTACAAATAATCACCTCACAGTGTCGTCTGTAAAGAAGCTGCAGGGTTTTGACATCATTCATGGTGACTCCTTCTTGCAAGAGGACGTTACCTAGATCAGGAGCGGGGAACTCCGGAAAGACATGGGTTACATCTAGGGAAAAGAAGGATTGGGAAAGTCAGTGAGAGGCAGGAACATCCAGTCACACAGGCCTATAAGTAAGTAGGAGAGGTTGCAGTGGCTGATGGCTGCATTTCACATTTCAAAYAACTGGTGATGAAACAGGTGAAATGAGCCTGATAATCCAGCACCTCCCCGATTCACCCTGGGCAAGAAGTGAACAACTGGAGCCCATTTATTTGGCGGCAAGAAGAATGCCGCCTTTCTCTTTGCAAGAAAAGAAACAAGAATACATTGTCCTCATCTAATGTGCTGCCCATTATGTTTTCTCCAAAGCCTGAATAACATCCCTTTGGTATTTTGAGAGTACAATGGAGAAATTAATTGGCTAGCAGACCTATCAGGAGCAATTGTGTTGCAGAGCCTGCTCGGAGCTGGCCAGGTTTTTTGTGTCACTCTTAAAAGACTCTGGAAAGAAGTAGGTCCACAACCAGCGAAACTGGAGAGTTTATCTCACATGGCTATGGGCCCAAATGGGTCTTCKTAAGTGTAATAATCCTCATAGCTCTTTCTCTCGGTGCAATGAACTGTTGCTCTCCTCTCTTGGGCTGTCCTACTCTTCAGGACTCTGCAGCTTTCAGATCTCCACTCCATCCATCCAATTTGGTAAAATTTGTGGTGATTAGAAGCATATTTGGAAGGAACCAGAGGGTGATGTCATATGAAAAAGAAAAAAAAAAATCCCCACGCTTTTAAAAGCTAGCTGAAGTGCTCTCCAATAAATGATTGCTCCTGCTGTGTGTCCCAGGCTTGTATTTCTCCCTGGTCCTTGGGAGCAACTGGAGAAAACCTTCCTCCTCTTTAATTAGAAACCTCCAAATGAGCTATCTCATACACTAAAGCAATTTCCTCACCTATGAATTGCTGATGATGTTGACTTTGAGCAGCAACTGACTGTTCAGGAGTAGTGTGCAGGCTACTGTTGGATCCACTCTCTGTCATTCCGTCCATTTTCTGGGCTGGTCTGTACCTACGTTTAGAGCACAGTTTAGTAGTTACACACACACAACCTGCAACACAGTCACGCTGTGAAAGCCAGGGATAAAAAGTCACTGAGCTGTATAGCATTTCTTACTTAAGAAGTTATATGCATTGAGTATGTAATATATGAGGTTATGCAGCACAGCTATGTTCTTGCTGCAGTCCTCAAGCTGTTGTCCTCAAGCAACGCTTGGGTTTGAGCAGTCCCAAGGGGCTCCCTTTGCTCCTAAGCAAAGCTTAGGAGTGGGTCCCCTCCTGGCTTTTTAGGGCTGGGATATGGTCCCGCAGCGGCTCCAAGGAGTCGGGAGCACCTACCTCTGCTTCTGGTGCACGGGCTGCTGCCGCATTGCCATGTACTGGGTGTCCTCCTGCAAGCGGTTCAGCGGAGACTCCGGCTTCAGACGGATCCCGTAGTAATGATACTTGGAGTTGCCCCTGGAAGAGGCATCAGTGGGGWCATTGCTCAGTGGCAGCTCCTCAACAGAAGCAACATCCTAAGATTTACTCTTCGCTTTCTTTTGACAATATACATCACTTGTTTTTTTCACAGTGTATTCTGTRCTGCCAAGAGCTGTTTGAATGGATTAATGAATGCCATCAAACTTCAAACCACACATCGCAGTGCCAAGCAATAGCCACGTTTAAAATCTGGCAAGTTTGCTCCAACAAACCAACGGTAACTGCAGAGGAGACAAGTGTTATGATACCAAGTGGTACAGAACCAAAGGGAAAAAGACCTCGTGGGACATTCTGCCATTTGAATGGAGTTTTAGGATTTGTTTTATATAATAGCAAAACTTCTGTCCTTACTTAGAATTGGATGAAACAAACCTGACTGAATAGTCAACCAGGGTAAGAAAAATGTGGTGCTTTCTGCGCCTAGAAGACCACGGCAAGAACCTTTGGTTTGGCTCCTAGTGTTTGGAATCACTCGTTTTCATAAAAAAMCATTTTTTTCCCATTTGCCAGTCAGGAAATCTCCTGTGATGCCACTTAGGAAAAGACCTTTCTGTGGCATCGGACAGTTGCGTCAATTCAAGTTTCTCCAACAAACTGGATTTCTTCAGCGAGGGCTTCTGGGGAGCAAGAAGGACAATCTAGCAACCACGGCGGTACAAGGACAGTCGCTCCGGGGTGGATTTAGCTAATTTGTARCTAACGAAGCTAAGAATTTGAACAAAGTGGTCAGGGGCAGGTGAGAGAAGCCAGGGAGCGAGYGGCATGATTCAGAATCAGGGGCAGCTTTTCTGCATCTTGGCAGCGTCTGGCAAAGGCTGAAGGCACCTTAAACCCCATGGAGATTCCCATAGGAAAATGATACACTGGAGATAATTTAAGAAAGGAATATTTGTCTGGGAATTAACTCGCCCTTCTTTTGTTGCAGAAATTCTCGGGTTTCCCATTTTTTTGCAAGGGGCGAGCGTTGAATTGGGGCTTTGTCGCTGCAACAATAGGGTTTTGCACACACTGTCAGTGCTGGGGTAAGAGCCGTGCTGCAAAAGCCATGCCCAATTTCAAGTGACTGCAAATTAAACACTGATGGCATGTATTTGTTTATTCATTCATTTAGATGATAATGGGGGATAGCAATTTCCATATTTGTTGAGGTCTACTGTGTCCTCCCAAGCCTGCACACTTTCCATTTTAACTGTTTTTCTTAACAGCCAAGTTTCCAAGGCCCATCCAAGCCTTGTTAACCACAGTCCTCAGGTCCCTTTGGCTCCAAATTTTCGTAAAAATGTAATGYCCAGTCAACATCCAACAAGTATATTACAAGAGACAGATATAAAAAATAGATTATTTCAGGAATATAATCCATGTATTTAAGAACTGAACGTCAATTGCCTTCTTATTTCACAAAGAAAAATAAATGTGGTTAAGTATTTCACTACTTCATATAGAATGACAACAGCATGTGATATTACCAAAAGCTAAACGAAAACATTCTGGAATTTCCACTAAAGGATTTTTTTTATTTGATTTTTTTAATTCTAGCTTCCAGTGAAAACAAACTCTGAAATGCCAGACTGTTGCCACAGAGCAGAAAATCCACTTGTGGGACATTTTTTTTCCATGTCTAATTATCTTTGAAGTCATAAACCAAGAAATTACAGGAGTCAACAGTAGCTGTTGGGATTTAACATTTTTCTTCCCTTAATAGGTTTAAAGAATTTCCTTTARAGAATGAGTTCAGAGCGCTGACACTTTAACCAATCCACAGAAATTGAAACTCTTCCTCATTCTCCTGATGGCTCTTCCTTGCACACTCCCGCTGTGGAATGCTCCATGCACATCTGKTTTTGTTCTCATCTCAAAGCCCAAATATCTAGCTTAAATTTTATTAGGAAACGTTACATAATCAGCGCAACGCCTGATTCTCCAGCCTACGATCTAYGCTTTAAAATCAAAAGCTGAGATGAAACCTCGGCTCGATTTTGGATGCTTCCTAGGACAACCCACGCAAAACGATGTCAGACGCCCCTTCTTGCATTTCATTTTTCCTGGAGCATCCTATGGGTATTTGAGGCTCTACAAGAAGCATTTCTGTCCCAAGGCTCAGCCAGTTGCGTTAGTGGTTTCTGCAGAGGCACCTCCTTGTGCTCCGGGATTTGGGCACTGCCGCTGCTCTCGCTCCTCATTCAGTGACTTTATGGAGCAGCCAAGTGGGGACCACTGAACTGGACAGAGTTTTCGGGCTCTGCAATGGTGACCAGCTGGGGCTTCACCTTTTGGAGATGATAAAAGAATGGGAAGCCCAGAGTAAAATAAAATATTCCGAGTTTTCTTAAGAAATGGGCTTACATCACATTTGATTGTGTGCCTGGACAAGATACTGTCCGTATGGAGCCAGGGCAAGTCCAAAATCAACTTCCTTGACAAACGTTCACCTTCAGAAAGCAGTTTTGCCTTCCGACATGCTGGAATTATCTACGTGCTTTTAAAAAGCAATTATTTTTTTCCTCACAGGATAATGCCTGGTTGTTTCTGCACATCTTAAAATAAAACCTCAGCCTGCTAAATTATGCTTGGGTGACTTTCAGCACCCAGGAGAGAAGTTGCAAGAGTTTTTTTTTTTTTAAATATAGATCGTGTTGGAATGGTGCAACCGTTTTCCTTCCTGCCAACACAAGCTCRCCTCGAGAAGCAAGCCCAGCCCCTCAACTCAGTGCCTATAAAAGATGCTCGGATGCCATGGGAAATCAGTGCCAAGGGAAGCAAGATGCTGCTTGTGCCCCTTGCATCCAGGGGCATCTCCTACCCACCTGGTTCCCAAGCGGCGTGTCCGCAGCCCCATGAACACGGAGCGGATGAGTTTTCCGAAGGAAGCGGCGTTCACCGGGTCCAGCTTGTGCTCCTGGCAGTGCCGCAGGTAGTGGTTGTACAGAGAGCTCCTGGGAAGGCTCACGCCTTCCGCCGTCTCGTAGTTGTCCAACAGCCACTGGAGCTTCACGCATGGAAAACAGAAGGGAACAAGAGACATGTGAAAGGCTCCAGAGGGCCGGGGCGCACGGAATAAAACAGGGTCAGTGCTTAAATGTCAGGAGAACCTCTCTTGCTGATAAGCATTAGAGTTTGCTCAAYGCTGGGTGGGTCATTATGGATGTGATGTTTAGACCAGTCGCTTTCTCCAAAGGAAAACGATCCCTGGTTAATAAAATAGAAGCGTGGCTGGATTTAGGAACAGCAAAAATCGGACTCTGCCTCCCAYCTGTCCATCCTGTGCTTGGGCAAATTCCTGACGAGCCAAAATAAAGTTTTTAGGAGTCACGTTTTCCAAGGATAAAGATAAGAAGTCATTTTCATCAAAGGAAAAAAAAATGCCAGGAAAATCAACATGTCCTGCAAAGGTTTTTGTTTGTTTTTTTGTTTTTAATTTAAAGATTGGCATGTTGACAACCGGTCCCTTAACAACAAAATTAATGCTTACCGAAGCAAAAAGCTCAAAGGGTGTCACCTACTTTTCGAAACTTATTATCTGAACTTTACTTCTCCTGACATTTATGCTGATTAAAGTTTGCAATTAGATATAAATTGTTTATAACCAGCCAGCCTAAAAGGGCAGGTGAAGCACTCAACCGCAGCGCAGGAATTAAAATGCAAACGGACAATTCCCCCCTCCCCCCAAAAAAATCTCATTTCATTGGCCAGATTCAGCATCAAATAAGCACTATATTAAGTGAATTCTTTGAAAGAACTAGATATACAAAGGGATTCAAATCCACAGCTTTGGTAAGAGACTTTTCCCCTCACATTGAGGATTAACGTTTTCCAAATCTGCCGCCACGTCCCGACATCCGCGTGTGGCCGCGCGGCATCGGAGGCTGAGCTCCACCAACGGCAGCGGCCTCTTCCCAGCCACGTTGTCTCCCTGCAACAAACCTTTCAAGCAGACCTTGGATCCGAGCACAATGTTAGTCTCAACACCCCTGGGATTTAAGCACATCCATGGTCGTGYGAGTTGGCCTGGGCTTAAACCCTTCCCACTGAATGTGACACCCAGCTCTCTTCTATCATCGTCACCCAGCTCTGCCCCATCACTCCATTGACTTATATTCAGTTTACATATTTCATATCCCTGTTTTGCTCTCGTACAAATCCTTTTCAGCCCCGAACAAGCTATCTGCACCAAGGAACATATGTTTCGTGGTTATCATTCAGCATCCAAATTTAAATTTTTGCCACATTCAGCTCTGGAGCTGAATCCAGAGCTGTACAGTTGAAGTTTCATCTCCATTTCATTCCATTTTATTGCATTTGCTGGGTTCGATTCAAAGCAGCAGCAGTTCCTATGACTGTTCCCATCACTTTGGCAAAGACCGAGGACTACCACAGGTGGAAGAACCTCCATCCCTTCGCTGCCTGTCTCTCTGTCCCGCTTTTCAAAGTGCTGTTGTTACCTTCCCACCTTCCTCCAGTCACTACCATCTCAGCTGCTTTTGGACATTCATTTCATAGATAAAAGACCTTTGGAACTCCAAACCCTCCAGTCCTTAAAGACTGTGGTTATGGAGGATCTGCAGGAGAAGCCACCACCTGAAGAAGCTCTGGAAGGTCAATCTGCAGCCCTGAGGTTACCACTCAATCTGTTGATTTTCTCTCTCTCTAACAGAACTGGGCCCTGGTGTTTTGGACATAACAGCCCAGCAGCAGCTCTGCTTCAGGTTAGTCCACAGCTCTAGCAATTTTAGCCCATCCCTTGTATTTAAAAGATTAATGATTATGAAGGGTCCCTTTTTTAAACTATTTCTTGGCCCTTTAGAAAATATGTATGTGCAGATCAGTTACTTCTGACCTTCTAAACCTGCTCTAATTCCAGTCCTTAAAAATAAATGTGTCCTTAAAAAATCAGCAACTGTGCCATGCTATTAGATCATGAATAATTCAGATATAGGTAAAACCCTCTCATTTAGATTACATTTCATATTCTATAGTTTCTGTCTGTGTTTCGATTGAGCCTCGGTGAAATCACCCTGCAGCAGCACATTGCTGTGCCTGTGCTAGAGGCATTTCTCCTTTAACCCAATGTCCATCAACTGTTACGATTTAAAGATCTTTAACACAATATTTGCAGCTAAAGTTCCATCAAAATGCGTGAACTTTCACTAAAAGTTTCAGTTTTGCAAAATGCCATTTTGGGAAAAAAAGTCTCCTTCAACTCTAGTTAGTAATTTTTAAAAGTTATTTTTAAGTTACTCAGCATAACAGTCACTCTTAACTTTAAACCCAAAGCCATCCACAAGAGGTAAGCATGAGTTTCAGGGCTTAAGTTTAAGAAAAAAGGCCCCTTACTGCTTCCCACATAAAAGCCATGCACCAATAGGTTATATACCTATATGTACCTATATCTATATATATATATGGGKTTTTTTYCCTTTTAAATAAGTAGCAAGAAGAAACTCCTTCCACGCCTATGAATGCTGTGACTATCTAGGATGCAGGGCATCACACAGGCAGGTCAAGGCATCCAACCACTTTATTTTCAATTACAAAAACTGTATCCCTCTTCCTCACATTTCTTTGCATCATCTGCAAGCACCTATGTGACAAAGAGTGACCCAGCAGTCTTGGAGGACCCTCGTGAGCGGTGCTTTCTCTGGGGAGCTGAGKGGGCTGTACACGCTCGTGGGTCCTTTATTTGCTTCTGAGTTCGCTATGGGACTTCAGCCTGATGCCCAACTATGAGCAGTGACCTGAGAAGAGGGATGATGCTTCTACCTGCAGGTAGAGAGATGTTCTTCTACCTGCAAGGCAAGGGCAGAGGAGATCTAATCACAGGTTCAATCTAGATCAAACTCCATCCTGCACAGCCTCTGCCCTTTCCCTGCTTTTTCCAAACCTCCTTCACTGCTTTGCCACAACCCATCCATCGCCATCCAGCTCCACTCAGTCCCTCTGCAGTCCCCTTCCTAGAGGGCATTAGAGAAGCTTTTTGGAGGCAACCAAAGGGGCAGTTGCTTGGGTGCATTGAAAGAGGGTTAAGCTAAAGTTGCTGTGGAGGAAAGATGTGAAATATGGGCTGTGGCATGAGCTGAGCTCTTCCTTTTCAAGGACACATCCGGATGCAGCCTCACAATGTTGGAAAGTCCTATTCATCCATGATGAAAGTGTTTCCCCTCACGCTTGCTGCGAAACCATGCAACTTCATGGAGCGTTTCCTCCCGGGGCAGGCAACTAAAGGAAGAAACTGTTAAATAAAAGCAAGCAGAATGCAAGAGTTATTTGAGCTGCTGACTGTGAATTTAGGGCACAGTGAACTTGCAGAGAAGTAACTGAGGTTTGCTGCTAAGATTTTTTAATGTTCAAATCATGGATTTGCGGTCATGAACCTACAAAGAGCCACCAGCCATAGGAGGACGAAGGTCCTTTCTGCTTCACCAATTGCTGTTTGCCTAGATTGCTCTGTGGAGTTTTCTAAAGTCCGGCAGGAGCATCGTGATTTAAATACACTCAAAAAAAAAAGAGAGCAAGTGTTCTTGCTGCCTGCACCATGATCATTACAGCACAAAAAAAAAAAAAGAAACAGGGCAGAGGTCCTGTCCACAATGTGTTGCACTTGCAGGAAGTGTTAATGCTAAACTGCAACAACCAAGGGGAATACATATTCCATATCAAACACTTGCCCCTTGCAAGTGTCTGACAAGCTGAAACTGGAGCTGAGCTCACGCAGTGGCAGCTCAGGAGCAGCTCACGAGAGGCAGATCCTCAGGGTCAAAGCTCCTGATAGTCTCCCAGACCATTTGAGCAGGGCGAAGAGAGATCGGGGTCCTTTGGCAGGGCGTAAGAGCGACAACAGCTCTGCCCCCGGATACAAAGCAAGAGGAAATCTGGGAGAATAAAGAAGTCCCATTGGCGCAGTGCGATTTACCAGGGCAGAACCAGGTTTCAGCAGAATCCAAAATGCACCAAAGTCAACACAAGGCTAGTGCCTTCAACGGGGCTTGAATTAGGTCCTTCAAATGTCACACAAGCGTGTGCTCACTGTTAGGCATTACTGCACGGGCGCCAGCAACTGGGACGCAGAAGACCCTGCGTAAGCTCAGCAGAATAGCGAGAACTTCACCCAAAGCAGGGAAATCGGTGGCACAGTGAGAACAGAGAGGTCTAGCGAGTGGATTTAGTATAGCTGCGGTAACATTAATGGTCTTCCTGTGCCACAAAGAGGCAATAAAACCAAACACAGGAGTAGGCTTTTGGTACACAGTATCTAGGGGCTAGCTGTTGTGATGCTCTCTGAGTGATCTTCCAGCTACCCTTCAGCTGCAGTGAAAGGAAAGAACTTCCCCAAATGTGTGGGGTTCTTTTCTTCCTTTTTTTTTTCTTTCTAATTGCCAGCAGTTTCCATTGCAAGGCAAGTGAAATTAATAAATATAGAATAGAGGCAGTTAACAGAATCCAGAACATCTCAAACAAACATGAGCATATCAGCAATTTTTGCAGTTTTCCCTTTTCTGGACCGTTTGGGGCAGCCTAGCTCAATCTCAGGCTGCTCCAAGCGCCTCGTGACRATACCAAATGGCTACCCAGAATGATCCTACCAAAGCAGGAAAGAGGTTGTAAAATCTGATTGCAACTTACATGGCTGTTGAGCAAACTGCTTTTGTGTGATGTGATCCCTTCATTTTTTTGTAGATTTTCAATCGCCATTTCAAGCTAAAGAAAATGTGCACAGGAAAGAGAGAAAAAAAAAGGGAAAAAAAGGGGGAAAAAAAGAAAAGGAAATCAGATAGTTAGCAACAGCCAGGATTTTATCTTTATTATTTGAATGATTAATGCTTTTATTTTTTTATCAACAGGCTTGCGAAAAAAAAGAGGCAGGTGGATGAGGCGCAGTCCTTATGGGATGAAGCTGCAGAGACGTTAACTGTGCTGCATGCAAACTAACCACACAGCAAGAACCCCCGTTAGGTGAAAGGGTGAAAATAGGGACCTTTCAATCAGTCTTCTTCTATATGCATTGCTCACTTTATATATATATATACACATACGTATTTATATACATATACATATAAAGTGGTTTTATTCTCCTATCTCTCTATGCCGAGACCAAAACCGTGCCATGCAGTTACAGTATAGTAGGTTAAAGGAGATTTGCCACCGAGGTGCATCCGACCCATCCCTCTCAAGGCAACCTGAAAGGAACGACTTCAGCTATTTCTTAAAATCTTGACAAAAACCAATAGCAGCTAAACAAAATGCAGGGACACCAGAGGATTCACTGGTAACCACACGTGGACACTCAGAGCAAAACCAGGCTTCAATTAAGCGAGCTTCCCGCTATGAGAGGCTTCTTGTCTCTGCTCCTCTTGTCCCCATTCCCAGTGTCGCAGAGCTGCTGCGACCAGCTGCATTCTGTCCCCTGAAGGGCACCCATGCTTTGCTCACCTAGCGTCTCTCCTAGCTCCAGCCTGGCTCTTGTTGCTGCCTGGGTGCTCAGAGCCCCATCCGSACCCTTCCTGCCAGGTCCTTCCTGGAACAGGGTGTCCCACAGCAACCTCTCTGAGGGCTGCGGTCTCTCTCTTAGTCCTCAGCCTTAATTCTTTATATCCCCAAAATACCCAGGTGAAGGATCAGCAGGGCAGACCTGCCGTTTCTCTCCAGTGGATGTTCTCAAAATCCTGATCTCTGTGACCCGTTAGTGAAGGCGGGATGAGGAGGTGCACATCAGCCCAGAAGACTTGCCACGGGCAGCTATCTTTGCAAAGTTATGGTCTGCCGTCATCTAACATGCAGGGTTGTGTGGTTTTCTGTAGGTATATGCATGAAGCATCACATCTGCACAAAGATCTAGGTGCTTATGGCCTCCTTTACCTTCTAGCTGCCTGACTCCCAGCATGGCAAAGATAAAAGGAAAAATTGAAAAAAAATAAAACTGCCTCCTACCAAACCAAGCACCGGTAGAGCTCTGGAAGGTGCAAGAACAGAGTAGGTCAGATCTAACTTCTGTCAACAGATCCATTAGATTTGGTTAGCTCTAACTAAAGACACAGTTTGCACCACATCAATATCCAAAGATGTCACACCATCCAAGCATCTCCAGAATAAATTTGTCTCTACCCAGAAGTGACATCTTTGTGGCACTTCTCAGCTTAATAAGTTGCCACCGAACTCAGAAAAGGCTCGGTCCAAGGCTTGTGTTCCAGGGGGTTTCAAAAGCTRCCTAGCACTGTGATGTCCCATGAGGAACCAAAACTCATCAGGCCAGACCGTTTGCTGAGGCAGCCTCGAGGAAATGAGTCAGAGCGTGAAGGGAGACACCATTTCCTTCCTCTGCTCAGGATGGAAGAGAGCGCTGAGCAGGGCAGGGCCCGCTGAGCCTCTTACCCAAGGGCAAAACCACTCCTTGTCCTTTTGGCCTTTGTGGGAAGCTTCCGACAAGGGAACCCTCTTTAGAAAAGATATCAGSAGAAAGACTGAAAATAAAATTAAAAACAAAACAAAAACAAGTCTTGAACAGTCTTTCTTGAGGACTTGCTTGAGCATTTGGATAAAACAACATTTCAGGGGTTATTTTACTGGAAAAAACGCTAAGTCTCTTGACTGCAAGATCTTCCATCAGTCAAAAGCACCATGCGTTCTGATGAGATAAGGTCCAGCAGAGCTGCTTAAAGGAGAGCTGCTCAAAGGCTTYTCTCCCTCACCAGCCTAGGGCACAGGAAAAGACTGAATTTGGGAGTCTGCTGCATCCAACGGTGTAGCACAAGTCAGTTTAAAGACTGCTCATACATTTTCCAGCCCCAGCTGGACACATTGGCAACAACGCTCACTGCTGGGCAAACAAAAAAAAACCTTCCTGAGAAGGGGACTTGAGTGCACCACACCAAAGATCAGGTTACCGWGAATCAAGAGGACCAAAAGGAAGACAGTTGTCACAACCTACTCCCAAGAAGTCTCCAGGATTTCCTCTCTTATATTGCTTAGCTTCAATGAACATCAATGATCCTCTAGCACCAACACTGATCAGGGCCATTTCATGTTCTTCTTTGGCCCATTTGGTGGAACAGAACACTGTTATTTCAGTAGAGGCAAGGGAAGGGTCTACAAATATTTAAAGACTTCATTTGGGTTTGCAACTAATTTTTACCACCTTTCCTCTCCTGGGGCAGCTCTGATGCCACTGCTAGCTGCCAGCTGGGCTGCCATGTACCTGATGTCTCTTCTGAAGATGTTCTCCTCACTCTCCCCTTTGAGCTGTCAGCATCAGCTGGGTCTTAAGTACTGGCCCCCTCCTAAGCCCTCTCACTTCCCCATCTCCCACAGCTGTGTCTSTGTTGCTAGGCCCTCGTGGCGTTGGCTGCTTGGACCTCCCGCCCCAGAAGCCCCATGCAAGCACTGCAGCTTCCCCATCTGCATCTGCATGGGCTCTACTTGCCTTTCTCTCCGCAGCCAAATCTCTTAATCCTGCCACCAAACACATTTCACCAGGACTAAAGCCTTTCTAGCACCAGCCGTGCCTCTGCGCCTCTTTAAGCAAGACTAAATATGACGTTCAGATCCGTTGATTTTTCTAGTCGTTGCTTTGCTCAAGCTGTCCTCTATCTTCCCAATCATTACTATGTGACATTCAAAGCAGTTCTCACAGCTCTGAAAGCTCCTGGGAGCTCTGCTGTAGGAACCAAAACCACCTGGATACATCCTTCTACCATCTTCTAGCTGAGCATCCATGCACTGCTCAACCCTCCTGAGCCCTTCCACAAGAACCACCTCCTTTTCTCGTTAGAATCTTCCTGAAAGCTTATCCCTCCATGCACGAGAGCGATTTTATTTTGGATGGTGCTTCTTTTTTTCCTAAGCAGCTCATCCCGTGTGATAGCCACCAAACATATCACAGAATCACAAAATCAAAGAGTGATTGAGGTTGGAAGGGACCTCTAGAGATCATCTAGTCCAACCCCCTGCTCCAGCAGGGACACCCAGGGCACGGGGCACAGGGCGGCATCCAGGYGGGTTTGGAGACCTCCAGAGAAGGAGACTCCCCAGCCTCCCTGGGCAGCCTGTGCCAGGGCTYGGGCACCCTCACACCAAAGAAGCTCCTCCTCACCTGGAGATGGAGCTGCCTGGGGTTCAATGTATACCCMTTGCCCTTGTCCTGTCACTGGCCACCACTGAGAAGAGCTTGGCCCCATCTTCTTTACATTCTCATYTCAGGTATTTAGACATATTGATAAGATCTCCTCTCAAATTTCTCTTCTCCAGGCAATGTGGCTCATGGGACATTGCCATTGAACATGCATCCTGCTCAGGCTTTTGACATCATGCCCATTACCACGGAAATTAAATAGAAAAAAAAATGAAAAAAAAAAAAAGGAGTARTGTTGTGTAGCTTTGCAAGGKGCAGTCCCACGCAGGTGACAAATCAGCAGTTACTTCCTTCAAAATAACAAGCCTGAGCACAGTGAGGTCCAATGCTCGATTGTAACGATGCCTGATTAAACTATGCAGACACAATGGTCACACAAGAGACAAATCTCAGCTAATCCAAAGCATCTGCCTTTTATTGCTGTGGTTGCTACCACCCGCTTTCTCTCCCACACAGAGCTAAGGACTTTTCCCTGCCACAACTACTGCTACTTCTGCCTAAGATACCCCTTGACTCCAGGTCAGACTCCAGATTGACTCCAGGATCAAGGACAACCCTTCAAGCCAAGAGCAGTCCCAAACTTGAACGTCTCTGTTTTAAACACTCACTGGGCAGAGCTGTCTGCATTTCAAAATCTGGCTCAAAACCTTCAATAGCAATTGATGTTTGCAATTACCTCTATGTACAAATGTATAAACACACACGTTAAATTACCACTCACTGGGAAGGTGACCCGTGTCCTAGAAGCCCACTAGCTCCAAGCCACTCGTGGTGGCACTTGCTACTAAGACTTGGTAGACGCCAACATAAAAACCCCGGTAGCTTCTAGCTGCAGAGAAGCTATTTCAGTTTAATAAGTTTCTCACCCTGAGTCCCAYAGAGCTGCACAACTGAGCACAACCCGGCACCTCTGCTCATAGTTGGACAGTCACAATTAAAAAAAAAGATTAGAATTTTAAAACATTGCTATTAGATCACTATTATGCCTAAAACATTTTCTGTAACATATGGCAGGGGCAGAATACACAATGGTGTAGGAGATATATAAAGGCTTTTATAAGAGTGCATTTGGCCTGATCAGCATGACACACTTTATTTGCTAATTATCTACCGTGTTAACAGCAGACTTTCCAGGTCTCTTCATAATATTTTTAGATATTTCTTTAGCTTGGGCAAGCCAAGCCTTTTGTTCAGAGAGTTAGGAAATGTAAACACGGAGAACTCTTCTGGGCTGGAAAGCGAAACAGTTGGATTTGGGAAGAACAACCCCAACCTCCCAAGAATTTGTCTTGTTCCACAATTTCAGCGAGCAAACAAGAGTCTGAGAAGCTGCCCACAGCTTCTCATATGTTCCAAATTCCTGCTGCCCTCCCCAAATATATTTATATATATATATATATATCTCTGCAATACACCAGTGTCTATTCTCGCGCTTCCCTTTGCATAACATGCTATACAGGCATATAGACAGCAATAACGATAGGAGGTTTATTTTCTGAAGGCTTTTCAGTTCCCTGGGAATAAGTACGGGCCCCGGAGCTGCAATATCTGCAGGGCTACATACCGTTGCTGGAGAGGAGCGTGAAGTATGTGACAGAGAATGTCTAGTGTTTTCCATCCCCCCATGAATGAGATAGGCTCCCGAGCCGGAGAGGATCGGACTTCCCCCAATGTCCATGGTGATGCCCACCATGTTGTGAGAGGGAATGGCCGTAGGAGAGGATGCCGCTGTAGTCACCTGAGCTCCACCACCTCCCTGCGGCTCGAAATAGGAAGCAGCACTGCTGGGCGCGTAAATCTGAGCGTCGGTGCTGTAGGAGTAGGCGGCTCGTCTGCCGAAGGAAGGAGAGCGTTAGTGGGGAGGCAGGCGCCGTCTCCCCGCGCGCTCGCCGCACCCGGCAGCTCCCGTGAGCTCCACCGCGATTCGGAAGAGCCCTCGCCGCTGGKGGCCAGGGGATCTGCTCTACTGAAGCTCAAACCGGCTAGGAAAGTCGATCCTGACAGAGGGAAGCGGTGCAGTGAGAGACCCAGGCAAAGGCTGGACGCCACGGCTGGTCTGAGCGTGCAATGGAGAGCGCAAGAGCTCGCGTTGCCCAGGAAGGTTTACCTGCAGGAGCTGAGCCTGTAAATAAAGCCCTCAAAACATGCCTACTTCTCACTTACTTTGCAAGTCCTGAGCTGTAGCCTTTAGTAGTACCTACTTGTCAGTGCAGCCCTACCAAGAATTTGCCTTAGCATTGCCTAAAATAAACTATTCCCTGAAAAGCACCATTTTGCTCATGCAGCAGTGGCAATGCAAGGGCCTTTGTGCRTAGACATCATAATAAAAAAGCCACACCTGAGCATCTAAAGCTCTTTATGCAACTGTTGAAAATGCAGCCTGGGTACCCAGGTAAGCTTTTCCAAGTGTTAAGACGGATTAAGTGCCCTAGTACTGCTATGGACACCAACAATTTTACCCTTGAAAGAGAGAAAGAAGCAGCAAAGACAAGCTGCAAGGTCCCTGCACATATACAGGGACTAGGAGAGACAAGGGAACTGCGTCATGTTGAGTAAAGGCAAGATGGGAAGAAAACCCCCACGTCGCCGCAGGGCTGCACTCGCTCAGCATCGCCTACGTGCTGGTCAGAGCAGCACCCTAACAGGAGCAGCAGGTGAGGGCACAGCTGGGAACATGCCCAAGAAAACACAAAGGAATTGAGTAGGACGGGATGAGATGGGCACAGGTGACTTAAAAAGAGCAGATCATTTTGTTATAATCTCCTGGAAGAAAGTGAAGAGCATCTCAGCAGGGGCATCAGAACAGTTACTAAATCCTTTGCTTCTGAAAGGAGCTGTGCTTTGGTTCCTAAAGGCACAGCTCCTTGCCACACACGGCGGGCTAGGGAAGAGAAAACACTGGGCCATAGAACGAGAGAACTGCCTCTTCCATGAAGTACAACGTCCTCTCCAAGGGGTCCGTCTGAAGCTATGTCCATGCATCCAGCGTTAAACAGTCCCTCCTCTTCCTCCTTCTAATGGTGGCCAATGCCACCTGCAACTCTATCCACCACGGAGCCTGCAAGGACCRAACGGCTCAGACCCAGCTGGGTGACCTGAAGGACGGGCTACTGCGAACGRGAGAGCCTTACATGGTTCCATTGGTATAAACGCCTTCTCCTCCTTCCACATACTGGACCTGGGATGGGTACACATGCTGCACRGATTGCACCTGAAACAAACAGCAGAAATGCAAGTTATAGAGGAACCACTAYGCCCAGCAGCAGTGGGAAAAATTACATTTTACATCTTAAATAGCTTTCAACCTTATGCTGATAGCTTGGTTTTTTTTAAATGAAGTTAGGAATCCCAATGTATGTGTTTATTTTAAAAGGTCAAATTAAAGTAAATAAATAAATAACTTCTCCGTGAGCAGTGGAAACAMCGGAGCTGGGTTTCCACTGCACGCGGCCCCAGGGCTGGGGCTCTGCTGACTGCTACGGGTGAGACCACGCTGCAGCCTTGGCCTTGGAGGGGAGGTTGGCAGCGTCCACCTGCGCCCCAGCCACCTTCTCCAGGGGCCCGGGAGGTCCGTGGTCACCCTCTGCCAACATTGTCTGAAGCTGAGCAACCGGATCAAAAACTGCTGGGGGAGAAAGTCAAGAGAGGCAGTCTCGCTGACCCCACGACACGGCACTATGTGYGCAGGGTTTCTTAGGAAACGAGGACGGAAAAGGCAGAGTTCAGCTAAATAAAAACACTCGCATGACTCTCAGTCATCTAACCTTCCGATGAAGCTACGTGCGGTCGAGACATTGATTGCTGTAATTAAAAAAAAACCCAAAAAACAGCTGGACTCTAAAAAAACTYACACCTTTGCAGAAGACAAAGGTTTCTAACTGAAATTAGAAACAACCAGCAGATATTTAAGCATATGCAAGGCAGCTGATAAAGAGCAGGTTCTTTCTAAATTTCCAATTCCCTGAGAGCTCTTTCCTCATCAGTCCAACTGAGAAGGAGAGACGGAGGTGGAGAAAGCCGCTATTGCAGTAATTGCCTGTTCTCTAATTGCATTCACCTCTTTAATTAATGGCATGGGTTTTCCTRGCTGGGTATCTGACACAGTTTCTAACGTTGCGTGGGGCAGGAGAGCCTGTTAGTTCTGGTTGCGCTGGGCCCCTGTGGTGTCTCACCGCGCTGACGTTACCTGTTGTGGAACCTGCTGAACTCTGGGGACGGAGATCTGCTGCATCTGTGCTCCTTTGGGAGCAGAGCCTGCTGCTTGCACCAAAACCCTCTGAAAGAAGAAGACACAACGGCCCACGGTTACATTCACTTTGCCTGCAGCCTGTAACGGACATAAGTTAGTMATTTGCTTCCATGGGAAACTCTCCTCCAAACCAGAGGCAGCAGGAGCCCTCCTCGCTGTCACCTTCTCACCCATGAAACCCCAACTGCCTTCCAAGGAAGCACCAGACTCAGCTCAGCACCTTCCACGTGGRAAAAGCAAAGAGCTGAACCCACATGTGCCCCATTTTGTAATCACTCCTCAAAGGAACACTAGCAAACGCCCCGTTAAGAGAAGCAGATTGCCAAAAGGTTTGGTTACAGCTAAAGAGGAATCGTTTCTCGCATCCTTGCATTTTTTTCTACGGTGGTTGCAAAGTTTCTGCTGCTGCATCGCATCTCACACCGTGTCCTGCTATACTGGAAAAAAACATCATCCCACTCTACAAGGCACCATGACCCTCGTGGTTTCTGTTGGCAACAAATCTCAGCTGGATCTGCATGTCCTTGCAAGTGCCAAGGAGCACGGGAACAGTCTGCGTAGTGCGGTGGTGGTTACCCCAGACACTGTCCTCTACCCCTCCTCATCGTTTCCATTCCTCCCTGCTCTTGGTGTGACGCCCAATGTTCAGCTGGAGGCCGGACACGTCTCGTGGAGCGCTGAGCACCTTGCAGTAAATCAAACGCGGGGCCGTGATGGATGGAAAGAAATGATTCAGCGAGGCCCGTGGGAACGTACTGGCATGCAAGTAAGACAGGCAACATTCACGCCAAATATCAGGATGGCATTTTAAACCAATGAGGACCTTCTCCAAGGAGAGAGTCATCCTCGGAGCTTTGAGGCTTGAAAAAATACCCGGCAGACAGGGTCAACAGAACAACAGTTGTCTCTACAACTGTGCAAAACAGCACCCCACTATGGCCTAGAAGAAACCTTGACAATAGCTGGCTACCTTGCATACGTATGCAATTCTGGAGTCTCCCCCTGATATCCCTCCAATATGCTCTTTGTTACCAGGCAGAAAAATCTCTTTTGGCAGAATTAAAAGAGTGTGACAATTGCCCGGGTTTCCAGGCGCTCTCGGCATGAGCAGTGCCCAGGCTGACCTTCAGGGCTGAGCCTGGATGCATTGGAGACCCTGCGGTTGAGCTAGCGATAAGCTGCAGGCACAGACCAGTTATTCCTTTGCCCGTTCTCTTTCCAGCAGAGGCTACAAACCAGGGCATGACTGGAATGTTAAAAGCCATTTTCCAAGCCAGGCCTTGGCAATGACAAAGGTATCAAAACCTCAATGAGAACTGTTCCTTTCTCCCACTTTTTACCTATTCTCTTCCATTGCTTTATAGTAAATGACAAATCTCTCCTCCTCCTTTGGCACAGCCAGCCAGCTCAACTGCTTTTCTAATTTATCACCACCTGCCTGGTTGCTCCTACTAGTTTCCAACCAAGAAAATGAATCGTTCCCAACCTGTAGGATGAGGCCATCCTGTTCACACAGCTTTCTCTCACACTGAAAGGTGGACCAGCAATCAGCAAAATCAAAAGCTTCAGCCTCACACCAGTCACGCTGCCAGCAGTTCATTCCTAGTCTTTTCTTCCTGCTCTCTAGATGTTCCTCCTCTTCATCTCTCTTCCAAGACTGCCACGGTCTCCCGCAATCCATGGAGTTCCCCTCGATATGCCAAGCCACTACACCAGCAGCGGGAAGAGCTGGCCAGCAATTTCATAATCCAAAGCCGATGGGTTTCCTCAGTTCCATGAACATGCTGTCCTAGTCAAAGTCAAGCTAATGTCTGATGACTCCTAAGATCTGCTCAGCGGTTCCACGTTATAACAGGGTGAATGGGAAACGTAGCCCAAAGAAATCACCTCTGCAAGGGCAGTGACCAAGCGTGCGCTGAATGACCAGAGGCCAGTGTCCTGCTCCTATCAATTCACAACTCTTAACTGTTCCTTTTCATCAGCATCCAATGGCAGCTACTTCTGCTCAGCTGGGAGTCAGGGAGAAGGGTGTAGCTGGCATACACACCCATCCTCTTATGCCTCCAGCTTCCTTAAGGGCTACAAAAAGCTCTTCTGATAGTTCCCTAAACCGCATTAAAAGAGGAACCAATTTGATTTAATACTTCCCTTTCTGCATTAGGTAGTTTTCATTCATGAGTTGATTTTTTCTTCTCAGATCATGAGACCTTCCAAGTGCATTGTATTCATGCAAATGGTCCCCGTTCACTTAACTTACAGTGTGAGGATCCAGCTACCAAAGGGAAAGAAGGCTCTGGCAGGGGGAGCCTCCACCCACACCTGCACAGGCACTCTGCCCCTCTCCGCTCCGCTGAGCTCGATGCCTCAGTTGCTAGAGGTGGTTTAATTCGAGGACTGTTTAATTCCCTGCTGCCTTTATTGACACATCAAATAATGACAACAGGATATTACAGTGGAGCAAACACCGAGCTAGCACGAGGGGATTTCATGAGGTAGCTAAGTGCTGATCTAAATTCCATATTTTAAGGTTTGTGTGTTTGTAGGGTTAACACAGGCAGGTGTTGGTGGCCTTCCTCGATGCAATCTCCATCAAGAGCCTCCCACCGCTCTCAACCAACCTGCCCAACAACCCCCTCGGGCAGACGAAAGCCCTGGATCAGAACACGTCTACCCGTAAAGCGGGGCTCCTCTCCACGGGAACGGCCTTGCCAGCCGCGCGTACGATACCTGCTGAGATGCTGGCACGGGCTGCACCACGGGCGCTTGGGCGGAGGCAGAAGTGTGAAGAGCCACGGAAGCTGCCGAGTCGGAGGGCCCCTCTGAGCTCTGCATGCTCCCTGCTGGAGAGAGCACCGGGAGATGAGCCGGGGCCGGGCGAGCCGCGCCAACCGGGAGCGCAACCCCAGGGCAAGCCCCAGGGAAGGAAGGCAGCTACCTTCCGACACGGCTGAGCCTTTTTAGGCTTGCATCTAATTTTAATGTGATATTATATTGAGGGGGAAAAGAAAAAAAAAAAAAGTTGCACAATTGTTCCACTGAAAGGAGAGGGAAGGAACAGAAAATGCACTTCTAAATATAACAGCGACAACAAAAAGTAGCATTGGAAAATGATTGTGACATAGCGAGGAGCAACTACACATCTGTAAGAATACGGAGGTATTTTTAAAGCGGGTTTTTTGACTCCCTCGGCCTGATCGTGTTTGACTCCTGCAGAATTCTTACTGAAGTGASGCGGGTGCCGGGAGGGCAGCGAATAGGTTGGCTTTGACAGCGGGGCTGTCGGCGTGAGCTCGGAATCGCGTCCAYACGGAAACAGGAAAGGTGAAACAGCAACCCCGGGAGGCGCAGCCGCATCCCTGCCCTCTCCCAAATCCCCAGGGCCTCCTGCGGAACCTAGACAGACGGACTTCTTTTTATTTTTATGGGATATGCTAGGGGATGGAAGCCTTTTCTCCTCAGTTTCTTGTGAAAGTTCCTGTCCAAAGCTATTTTAAGGCCGTTCCTGCTGCTGTTTCCAAAGTGAGGGCTCGGAAGCTGCTGCGGTCCCAGCAGGACCATATTTCCTTATTTTCCAATATTTTCCATTTTATTTCCCTTCTGCTGCTGCTATTTAAACTTTTCCCCTTACATTTGTGTAATGTTACTAGGCAAAAAAGAAATGAAAAGAAAAACCAACGGATGCTTTGGCCACCTGGAAGACCTTGCTCCTTTGRCAGCCACCTGTGGCAAGGAGAGAASTAGGAGGTGAAGCTACAAAAACCTGTGTTCTCTTTCCACAGTTGACCAAAACTTCTTCACAAAAGGGGTTTCTGGACATGTTTACTCGGTGCTGACCCCATCCGGCCATGCTGGACGTGGAGAAGTTGCATGTGCCCAGCCAAACCCCACTGTCTGCAAGGCATCTTCTCTTCCCTACCTTCTCCTGGTGTCCAAAAAAAAGAGTAGATACCAAGCTCATATACATAGGTGCCACTCCAAAAACAGCTATCATATCAATTTACAAGCTCGAAACATGATAAAGAAATGCAGCCACTTTTTAGCACCATTCAGATCCCTTCTTAGGCCTCAAGTCATCCATGTAGGGCATCTTCAGTGGCCAAATGCAACTCTTTGGTGCCCCTCTGCTATACAAAGTCAGCCCCTGCTTCTCCTCGTATATATTCATGAAGTGGCATTGCAGCTCCTATGCGCAAAGATATCAATGACAACAGGTGATKAAAAAATATATCGAATTCTCCCTGTAAATTTAGGAAAAATCCTTGCACCTGCTGCGGCCCTGGCTGAGCAGCGTTTGCAGGTGGCCAGCTCCGGCTCGTTGGCAAAGGAGGCGACTTTTTACAGCTCGTATGAACAGCCACAGGCAGAACAGAGGGGGAACTTTCAGGAGAGAGATCCTCCTAACTTTGCAAGAGTGTTTTATCATCTATCGTTCGTGTTCAGGGCTCCGTTTTGCAGCTTTCCAGGTGTTTGCGAGGGGAAAAAAAAGACCGTGGTTAAGTTGTAAAAGGAAACTGCCTAAGTTGCCAAATACATTTTAATGATCTATTTGAGAGCTTTAATGCACGCATGCACAAGAAAAGCAAGCCGTGAGAATGGGTTTAATATCATGCATGATTTGGGTGAGACTCAAGCTTAATTTAGAATATTTTAARCTTGCCCAAAGTCACTCTGAACCTTGGGAGCCCAACGCTGTTTGAGGACCACCTCTGGGATGCCGAGAAGGGAGAGATGAGCAAAACAGATGCCACAAGTTCTAGGATCAAATGCTACTCTATGCAGTTCTCTTAAAAAGTCATGCTTGGAACTCTGCCTAAGCAGTTAAGACCTGGCAGGGTCAGACCTCAACATTTCAGGTCTACAGAAAGGTCTCTTTTCAAGTAGTTGTCATCAGCAGAGGACATRCAGAGGCACTGCTGTCTCCAAGTCGTCACCTTCTCAACGTTGCAGATCATTTCTTTGTCTTCTGCTTCCCCTCAATGATCAAGAGATTTAGAGAGAGGCAGGCAGKGTGGAAGAGGAGCTGTCCGTGCCCCAAATAAATCCCTGACATTATTTCCAAATTCGTTACAAAACAGAGGCTCCCTTACCAATGTGAAGGACACAAAGAACGCAGCGAAACAGGCAGTCGCTTCTTGCGGGCAAGGAAGACAGGCACAGAAGCACTGGACCCCAAAGCCCATTTGCAAAAATGGTTATTATTTTATTAGTGGAATCAGCTGGATCGGAGAGCGCTCATTTCCCCAAAGCCACGCTGTGCTTKGTGCTGGGGCAGGACGCGGGTGCCACGTGCCAACGCGCTGCCCGTGGCGAGGCCACCGCGAGGTGCCCCACGGCCCCGCGCCTCCCGAGCGGAACAGRACTCCGGCTTTCCTCTTAGGTCAGRCCTAAGGGAGAGGGATTCTCTCACGGGCTCCGTGCTCAGGCGCGAGCGGCGGCTTTCCCGCAGCCCAAGAGATCCGCAGGAGCTCTCGAAAGGTGTCTCAGGGCTCCGACAGCCGATGCACCGGGGTGACGGCTGCGRCGGGGCTGGAGCAGCGGGCGCAAACGAAGCAACCCAAATTAGCAGTAAACACAGGCAGGGATGAGTCAGGCAGGAACAGAAGCCAGGGGTGACTTACGCAGCTTCAAGGCTCCTTATGGGGCTTGGGCAAGGCAAAAAAAGAGGCAAGCTGGTTATTTCCGCAGGTGGGAATCCCGRCCGTGCCCAAGGCACAAAACCGCAGCTGCTTCAACGCGGGGCGTTTGCAGGTAGAGCCAAGTGCAACGGGCTCCGCGCGGCCGGCACCGCCGCGTGGAGCCTCCGCGGCGGCCCCGGCTCCGCGTTGCATCATCGCTGGATGAGGCCGGCACATAAGGAGGCTGCCGCGGGCTGGAAACCTTCTGTTTACCCGCAGCTTGTGCCCGTATCCAGGCAAACAGCAGCGCCGGGAAAGGAAATGCAGAAAAAGCTAATAACTTCTGGGCGCTATTTCGGGTTCGGCCACCAGCTCGCTCTGTGACCTTGGACAGGATGCTTCCCTGCCCTCTGCTTCAGTTTTCCCACTCCTAAAAAAGCGCAGCGCTCCCCTGCGCGGGACGATGCCCGAGCGCTGCTCTCGGAGGCTGCCGGCAGCATCGGGCATGGCTGAGGAGCAGCTTTCCCAGCCTTGACGTTTGATAAAAACTCCTCTTTTTTCCTGTTTTATTCATGCACTGCGTTGCCTTCATGTAAACAGCCCTGCCCGTGTTCATGTGCCCAGCCTAAAACAGCTCCAAAATGCTGGGAAAACGGAGATACCGGGAGCGCCGCAAAATATTTTGCACGTGCACGTTTGCAGCAGGAGGCGGAGGGGGAGGAATTAAACTCAGAGGTCTCTCCCACACAGGTCCTATTCCAGAGCAGAGAGGGGCAGGCACCTCGCTGAGCTGTTCCCGAGCCCCTGGAAATAGAAAGGTGGCAGGATTGGGGCTGAAACAGYCGCACGCAGCAGCGTTCGGGGCACRCCGTAGTTAAATCAAGATATATTGCTGAAAAGGTAGCCCAGGTCCGGGCACCGCGYGGCGGGGAACCTGGAGAGACAGATGTGGTCGCCCGTGGCGTCTTACCCCCGCCCAAATTAATGCAGTCGGTAACCTTTACATATCTTTAATATTCCTGCGAGCTAACGAGCTCCCGTATCCCAACAGCCGGGATGCTCAGCGGTGCTCAGCCTGTGCTCACTGTTTCCTTTCTGTTCAGAGGATTTCAGCCCAACCAGGGGGTAAAATAACCAGCGAATCACACAGTTGAATTTCCATGCATAGCGCTGTGCTCCAGCTCTGAATTCTGAACCCAAAATCTCATAATATGCTATGTTTTATCGAAAATCTCAACCTCACAGGCAAGGGGTAATGGGAGGGGTTTTATCTAATTAGAAAAAAATGAACTAATTCTCATCCATTACACAGACTGCTAAGACCAAAATTCAAAGGCAAACCTCCCCTCCTCTTTGCATGTCCTTTTGGGCATTTTTTGCATGCTTTAAAAGGCAGGTTTGCATTTTTTAGAAGTTACTTGGGTTTTGGAACTTTTATTCAGGTTGGAGCTTGGAGCTTATTGGCCTGGAGCTTAGATAAATAGGAAAAACAGAATAGCAACATTAAATCCACAAAAAAAATGAAAGTGCTATTTCCCTCCCAAAACAAGCCCAAAAGGCAGTTTATTCCTTTATTCCCCAAGCATATCTCCAAGCCTATACAAAAAAGGAACTAAACTTCTGTGTTCGTGTTCAAAAATTTGCTACCGAGAGTGCCCAAAGTAATAAGAAATAAGGAAAGCAGGGAACAGCCCATTTTGATCCCTTTCCTGACACAGGCACACCATCCATCTGCTTTATCCACCTCACTCCACACTGCTTTTATTTTACCGGAGAAAACCTTAAATATTTTCCATCCCATTCGACATTACCAGCTTAGTCTCCAATAATTTGCCCTGAAAAGACATTGGTTGGATTTTAACCGGAGCGAGTAAGTTCTTTTGTTTGTAAAAACGTCTTTTTGCATGAATGAAAACTTCGTTTTGTATGAATGAAAACCTCATTCTGTATGAATGAATCGATCGGGTCAATCATACCACCTTAGAGGAGAATGGAGACAAGTCACACTCGCATGATTTTTTTTCTCCTCTATCTCCAGAGCACTGTATCTCCTAGATATTTTCCCTGATTTTCCCAGGATTTTCCCTGAAATGCCAATAAAGATGGTTTCCCCCCGAACAGCCCGTAAATCAGATGCCTCGGTCGTGTATTAGGAGGCAGATCCAGGTTCCCAGCAAGCAGCTCTGACCCCAGACCAAGGATTCTCCCGTGTCTACG